GTGTGTGTGTGTGTGTGTGTGTGAGTTTGTGTGAGTGTGTGTGTATGTGTGTGTATGTGTGTGTGCACACGGGGCGTTTAATAAATATCGGCACTAACTATTAAAGCACTAAATCAAAAAGTAGCAGTTTGACACTCACAATACTTCTCCTCTACACAGTCACTTTGCAAATTGACACCCCTCTACCATCTCTGTTTGAAGTTCAAAAATCCGTGAGCAGAATGGTATGGCCTTAGATGAGACAAACACATTTCCTTCACTGCAGATATAGCATCTTCATCCCTATGGGCACGTAGTTTTTTCAGAGGTTTTCTTCCTGTTTGGGAAAATATAAAGGAAAGAGTCAGCAGATGCTATATCAACTGAACGGGGTGGGTGTGGAAGTATTTCGTAACCGAACTGCTTTGCTGTTCAAATTGTCTTCATCGCTCTCTGCGCTGAAATATTGTAGAGAATATCGTAGAGCAGCAGGTGGATTCTTTTTTGCAAGCTTCCCTCATCGTTTCTGGGCCAAGGTAGGTCGCAGTTTCATCAACAACGCCGAATAATAGTCCCGATGGTAGTATGGCCATTCTCTATACATATACTCTGTCTTTATGATTTCCCACTGTATAAAAAATAAGACAGCTTAACCGTTCTATTTGAGGGTTGCACCTTTGCCTTCAGCATAGTATGGTAGAAAGTTAATATGTCCTCAAAAATTGTCACTTGTGATTTTTCTTGCTTCCAGGGAAAATATCTTTACCTTTCGACATGTAATATCTCCTCAAAATTTCACTGGTGATTTCCCTAGCTAAAAATCAAATTCAATTCTTTAGAGAGATATTCAAAAGTTTCCATTTTGGACGTTGCTTACATTGAAAATATCGTTATCTTTTGATGCAAGAAAAACCATTCCCACACGTTTTCAAAGAACATGAATATTGACTACATGATTGGATGTATCGATGAAGTTTAGTTTCCTTAATCCTGGACAGTCCATGCAGTGCTCCAGAAAGATAGAAATTACAATCTCCAAATTTCATCACTGTGCTAGAATTCATTCAGGGTCAGGGTAAAGGCATATTTAACGCCCCTCGTGTGCGAGGTTGTATATACAAATTGTATAGAAAGAGAAAGAAAGAAAGAGACAGAGGGAGAGAGAGAGAGAGAGAGAGAGAGAGAGAGAGAGAGAGAGAGAGAGAGAGAGAGAGAGAGAGAGAGAGAGTAGATAACTAATGTAAACTTCGTTTCCCCCACAAACAAAGAAACACACACGTACACACACCCACACACATACACACACATACACACACACATACACTCACATACACATACATACATACATACATACATACATACATACATACATACATACATACATACATACATACATACAAACAGAACTGTATGTAAACTTTGAAGTAGTTTTCTTTGTTAT